CACATTATTATATTTGTCCAGACTACTGCAAGCGAAGCAACCTTGGTGAGTCTCCTAGCAGCTCGTACTAGGGCTCTGATGGAGCTATCCAAGCTAAACCCTGAAGTCCAGTCAGCTGAACTGCTGGGCCATCTTATTTGCTACTGCTCTGACCAGGCCCATTCTTCCGTGGAGAAAGCTGGTCTCATTGGTAAGTGGTGGTTGATTCATTATTATTGTTATAGCAATGAAGTAATTCTGTATCTTACTGTTAAGTAAGTGTATAGCTGAAGTCAATGGCTGACAATAATAGAAATCACAGTAAATGATCAAAATATTTGCTCTTATCTCGCGTCAAATGCTTAAAATTTTACATTTTGTTTAAAAGTATCAGAAAAATATATCTTTACTCGTTTGAAAATTTATCGTAAAAGTTCTAATCAGTCTAAGTGATGCAAATCTCACACAGAATTTTTATAATGGAAAGTCTCGGAAAAATATCACAATCTAAATTCATCCCTCTTCTCGTATATCTTCACCCAGGTCTAGTCCGTATGCGGTACATCGAGTCGGATGAGCACCAAAGCATGAGGGGAGACCAGCTGGAGAAGGCTATCGCCAGCGACAAGGAGAAGGGGCTCGTTCCATTCTGGGTAAGTCCATATTTTCTTTTTATAGCATAAACCGGTAAACGAGCAGACGGGATCACCTGATGATAAGCAATCGGCGCCGCCCATGGACACTCGAAACACCGAAGCGTTACAAATGCGTTACTGGCCTTTTGGGAATTAGGAATTTGAGGATTGTGGAGGATGCGGGGATTCGGGAGACGGGGACTAGGGAGGGGGGTAATTGGGCCACCGGTAACCTCACTAACACAACGAAACACAACGCAAGCATTGCTTCACGTCGGTTTTCTGCTCGGCCGTGGTATCACTCCGGTCGAGCCAGCCCATTCGTGCCGAAGCATGGCTCTCCCACACTTTAAAAACGTTAAATTCAACATTTTTACAAAACTACGAATTTGTTTTTAAAAATACGTTGCCCTACGCTAGGATTTTCTCCTGTATCGTGGGTGCGTTTATAAACATACGAGTTCACATACACATGATACCCAGACTCGAAACAACAATCTGTGGATAACACATATAAAAAAAATAATAAAAACAACAAGGACTTGTTCCGTGCGGGATTCGAACCCGCGACACGGCGCGTGGCAGCCAGTTACCCAACCACCGCGCCAACCGTGGAGTAAAAACCATTAATGACAATATTGTGACTATTTTTAAATATAATTATTATACTGAAACGTCGAAACACTGACTAAAAAACGAAAACTGACCTTTTTTTTTTAGGATTAGATCTCAATTTTCACCATCTTAAGCTTAAATATAAATTCATTTTATGTATTTATATATATCGAACTAGCAAACCCGGCGAACTCCGTTCGCAAGCAGATGGCATCGTTTTATGTAACATTTCGTTTGGTGATTAATAGATAAAGAAAAATGTTTTCCTGAATTTTCTTGCTATATTCCTCACGGAGCCTCGGTTCGTACGTTCTGGAGTTACTTATAGCGCCAGAAAGGAAAACCCGACTTATTTTTATATAGTAGACTAGCAGCCCGTCCCGGCTTCGCACGGGGTAGACAATTATTTATTTTTGGATATTTGGATTGTTGTAGTGACATAACTTCAATAGTTCGACATATGCTACCGCGGAGTTTTTGGAAACATTATGATGTTCTTCAATATTGTTGTACATTATTTTGTTCTATCGCTAATAGTTTCGGCAGCACATTCTACAAAAGACATTTTTCTACACCTTCAGTTACATTGTTCAAATTTTACCAAGGAACCCGAATTTTTTTCAAAATGAAATGTCAAATTGGAAGAATGTAGCATTCTTTTGGTGAAAGAATTTTTGAAATCGGAGCCTTCTTGAAATCGGAATCTTTTTGAGCCTATTCATTACAAACGTATAAAAATAGGTACAAATCTTTCCTCTTTATAATATTAGTATAGAAGTATAGATGTAAATAATTTTAAATGAGGAAAAAATATTTCAAAACGCGTTGTAAAATAACAAATTAACAAGAGATGTTTAAGAAGCTATTTATAAAATGGTGGTCTTTTGTCCTTTTATCTTATATTATATCTTTGATTTAGATCGAAGGAAAAAGCTTTCAAAATATTTGTAAGATGTGCTTGTAGCTGTTCCAAAAAAATAACTTTCAAGTCACCACAATAATATAACTGCCGAATAAGAACTTTGAAACTTGAAAATTAATTAATGTGCACCTCTGCCTACCACTTCGGTGATAAAACGCGTGATGTTATGTCAAAGTCAAAGTCGAAATCATTTATTTCAATTAGACCAGGAAGGCATTTTTGAACGTCAGCAATATAAATTGAAAAGTGAAGCTATTTGCTCGTTCCAAAGTGTAGATGCCTATGGAGAAGAACGAGCAAGAAACTGCATAGGTTATTCTTTTCCAATCAGGTTCACAATACAATTCTCCAGTTACACATTTTTATTGGTTCGATTGTGCGAGAACAATGTAACAACCAAGTTCTGTTATGTTAAGTTTGAAAACTCGATATTTTTATTAACTAAGTAACTAAATTACTCATGGTATATTACTCTTGAAACACTGCTCATGATATCACAAATAAAAAATATATTTGTTTTTAAATTACTTAACATAACATCACGCCTTTTTATCCCCGAAGGGGTAGGCAGAGGTGTACATTACGGAACTTAATGCCACTGTACAATGTAACACCCACTTTTCACTATTTATGTTATGAGTCCCATGTTATAGGGGTGAGCCTGTTTAAATTAATCCCCATAAATGGCAGCAAGCTCAACTAGTCTAACAGAAGACTATCACAAACTGTAGTTTTTATGAAACATTGCCCCACAGTAGTATTATCTCCTGTGTCGTATTTGCCTTTACAAACATACAAGTTCAAAAACACATGACACCCAGATCCGGAACAACAATTTGTGAATCATACAGAGAGTTGCTCCGTGCGGGAATCGAACCCGCGACACGGCGCGTGGCAGCCAGTTACCCAACCACCGCACCAGCCGTGCAGCCAATATTAATATTAGAACTATATATAACCTATGACTGGGTGTCGTGTGTATGTGAACTTGTATGTTTGTAAACGCACCCACGACACAGGAGAAAAACCAAGTGTGGGGCAGAAAAATAAATATATATTTGATGCCTATGACTTGGAGCTATATATCTTCTGTTACTCTTTAAACCACTGTGGGAATACAAATTCCACAAAACAATCCCACAAAACAATGTCTCTAATTTACATGAAAGCTTAAGAGAATTCCCTGAAGGATGCTGAAAAATGAAAATACATTTCTTTATGAAAATATTCATTATTTGAAGATTAGTTTGTGTCATTTCTAAAGTCCTATCCTATTGGCCGCGTGGGGACCAATTTGTTGTTTCACAGATTGTGCGGAAGCAGCTTACAGTTTAAATTGTGGTGTAGGATTTGAGCGGTAGCGATTTGAAGGAGAATTGAAATTAATGTCGTTTGAATATTTTTCTTTATCTTCCTTTCTTTTATAAGTATTCCATTTTAATAGGACGTAGTTAGAGTTGTAATTTTTATTGCACAAGCCAGTAAACGAGTAGTCGGATCACCTGATGGTTAGCGATCGGCGTCGCCGATGAACACCCGAAACACCAGAGGTGTACAAGTGCGTTATCGGCCTTTTTGGGGATTAGGAATTTGAGGATTATTAAGGATTTAGGGATTGGGGAGCGGTAGGAGGTAAATGGACCTCCGGTAACCTCACTCACACGATGAAACACAACGCAAGCGTTGTCTTACATCTTCGTATGCTCATAGGTTGACAGTTAACGTCCAGTTCAATTGACCACTGTGTTATAGGGACGCGCCTTTTGTCTACAATACTTTGAACGAGCATAGATAATAGCTAATTCAACAGCTAATCGTCGAATTGGTATAATAATTTAATATTTTTTTCTAATATTTGACACTGAGTCTAAAAATATGTAATATATTTCCTATCTGAATATTCTAGTATACTTTAATTATCTACATCGAGTTAATATAGGTACCTACATGTACACATAACATAACATCACGCCTTTTATCCCCGAAGAGGTAGGCAGAGGTGCACAATACAGCACTTAGTGCCACTGTACAATGTACCACCTACTTTTCACTATTTATTTTATGAGTCCCATGTAATAGGGGGTGAGCTTATTGCCATATACCGGGCACTATTCCAGACTCCATGCTACGACTGAGATTATTATTTTTTTAAACTCAGTAATTTTTTGCCCGACCTGGGAATCGGACCCGAGATCCCTTAACTGGCAGTCGCACTTGCGACCACTCGGCAAACGAAGAGGTAGCTTAAAGTCGCTTATAACTTGGACCAAACCAAAGTTGTAAGTAGTAGCATCTTGGTAGCTCCTGACTATTATTTGATTGTTGATTAATTTTAATGTTTAAATTGTAAGAGATTGTTCTTTTTGCATTATTTTAGTAGATTCTCTGTTCTTTGTATTTGTATCAAGCTGTGCTCCGAACAGCGTAACCGTAGGTGTATAATTAGGTGCGTTACGGAGCCGCGGAAGACTTAACGGGTTATCGGGGCTCCGGCTCGAAGTGCAGGAGTAGGAACGGGGTTGTGTTTAGTCAGTAAGAGTCTGACACTCCCTCCCATCTCACCCGGGCGGGAGAACTCACTGGATGATTTCCCCCCTCAAAAAAAAAAGGTGTATACCACCACGTTCCTACTCCTGCCCTTCAAGCCGGAGCCCCGGCAACCCGTTAAGTCGTCCTCGGTTCCGTATTGGCAACAGCCCTTTTGGGCCCCATTCGTGGTGGTCTGATGGCTCTTTGAGGTGTGCGCGGAATACGACGCGCCGTACGCTCGGGTCTGGTTCTGGTCTGGGCGTTGAGCCACTCATGGTCGCCATCCGCAGGCCCGCGAATTAGACATAGCATAAGGTTTTAATCCCCGAAGTGATAAGCAGATGTAGGATTTTAATACAATATACAATTCATAATAAGCGATCAAAACTTCAGGAAAAGAATAACTTTACGGAAAATTTGAAATTTCTTAAATGACAATGAGTTATCTTTGGAGTTTGACCTCTATATTATAGTTAACTTAAACTTAGTCAACCAATATTTCAAAACCAATTTAAGTTAAGAAAATAAGTAATTATGATCATACGAGATACGTCTTAGAAATACAAAGATGTTGTGATGCTGGATGCGACTGTTTCCTTTGTTGAGAATTCAGGGATTGGGGAAGAGGGGGGGATTGCGTTTCCGGTAACCTCACTCACACGACGAAACACAACGCAAGCGTAATAACGCCGAACGACCAAATCCGACCGAACCCCACAGAAGACCAAAAATATTCGGTCTTCTGTGGGGCCGTGGTATCACTCCGGTCGAGCCGGCATTCGTGCCGAAGCATGGCTCTCCCACACTTAATCACCGAATAATCAACATTTTTTGGGTTTAATTTTAGAGTAAGAAAAATATATTTATTTATATCAATTTCCTAGAAGCATTGACAGATCACAATTAAAAATAAAGTAACTTAATTTTTCGTACAAAAACATCGTCTAGAACATGTCATATCCAGCTACACTACATCGCAGTAAATTAATAATGATCTCTAATACTCTCAAGTTTCGATCCAATTTTAATAAACTCAAGTTTCCGTGCGATTAGCTCCGTAAGTGCATTTTGTACGTTACTTAGTTACTGTATCATAGAACCTACTTATGATAAGTAAGCTCGAAGGTAGGGAATTATTATCCCTGTTAGAAATAAAAGGGGCGAACAGAATTTGAGGGAGTTTTCATTCTGGCATCGTCACCAGAGTTTGATATATTTGCGTCAAGCTAGAGGATTGTGTGCAAAGAATGCATGAAGTTGTACGAGTGTATGAATGCATAACTGTATTTTATTTTATGTTGTGTTGTAAATGTCTTATTTATTTTATACTAGCTGGCCCGGCAAACTTCGTACCGCCAAAATTGTTTTTCTCACCTTTTAAACCTTCCCTGGACTTCCACGAACATTTCAAGACCAAAATTAGGCAAATCGGTTCAGCCGTTCGCGAGACTAACGAACATAAATTTATTTTTATTTATATAGATTGTATATTTTGCTTATTGGTATTATAACCTGTCATAGTTTGTAAGGTTTTCTTATTCTTTTTGTTTGTTTTATCTAAGGACTGTTCTGTTTTGTTTTTTTTTTCTTTTTATAATTATTTGAAATGTATAACGCCTTGGTTTTATGACTGTAATGTTATGCTATTTCATTGAAATAAATAAATAAATTAAGTACGTATACAAAATACATACAGAGTCTTCAATCCATTATTCGTATAATGGTTTTATTGCATCGATTGTTACGGTCAATAAGGATGAAATCTCTCTAACAAACATAATTTTAATGAAAGGAAAACAATGAACGGTCGATGCAATAAAAGTACAGGGTGTAAACTTTGACAGATTATAGTCAGTTGCAAGCCTTTCTGTTTTCAACCGGATACATTTCGGTGTGGGGGAATTGCACAGCTTGATTCCCCCTAGTCCTTTCCATCATCGTACAACAAGACAATCGGCGAAGCGTCACCGATTCTTGGTAGATGTTCCACTCACACGCACGAAGCGCTTCGCATCAAGCTTCCTTGTGCGTACTGCTAAAGAGTGAAATTCTTTGCCAGAGTCTGTTTTTCCTGAAGGGTATAACCTGGGAGTCTCTAAGGCCCGAGTGAATAGGTTGCTTATGGGACGACGTGCTCCACCGTAGACCGCATCATCGCTTACCACCAGGCGAGATACTGGTCGAACGTCAGCCCCTCAAATATATATATAAAAAAACAATATTTTTGGAAAAACACAAAAAGAGGGTGTCTAAATAACAATAGCAGAGTTCATTTTTGAAATAAAAAATACATGTTTATATGATTGTCTGTTTGCACAGGCTAATCTTAGGTACTAGCGAAAGGACTAGAATGGAACTATATTTGGTCTGTAGCTAATTTACCGGTGCCACATATAGATAGGCTATAATTTGTTTAGAAAAGTTAACGCGAATTAGAAATTCTTGCGCAAAAAATTACAATAAGTGTTTTAGATGGTTTCCTTGGTATTGGGTAATGATTCACTATAAATATAATCTTATATTTTATACTCTTACGATCTCCGGCCACCGTAAGCACGGGCCTGCGGACGGCGAGCACGGGTGACTCGCCGCACGACCAGAACCAGGCCCGAGCGTACGGCGCGTCGCGTTCCGCGCGCGCTTCAAGGAGCCATCAGACCACCACAGATGGGGCCTAACAGGGCTGATGCCGATACGGAGCCGCGGAAGACTTAACGGGTTGCCGGGGCTCCGGCTCGAAGTGCAGGAGTAGGAACAGGGTGGTTTTTAATCAGTAAGAGTCTGACACTCCCTCCCGCCTCAGCCGGGCGGGAGAAGTCAATGGATGATTTTCCCCCCTCAAAAAAAAAATGTTTTATACTCTTATACTATTATATAAAGCGGAAGAGTTTGTTTTTTTTATTTGTTTGTTTGAACGCGCTAATCTCCGTAACTACAAGTCTGATTTGAATAATTATTTTTGTGTCGGATAGCGCATTTATCGAGGATGGCTATAGGCTATAAAACATCACGCTACGACCAATAGGAGCTGAGCAGAGCGTGTGAAACCGCGCAGAAGTAGCTAGTCCTTATAATTATAATTATGAAAATGTTTACTAATGCTATGCTACTTCTTCTTTGACTTAGGTATGTGCAACCCTCGGGACTACGGGCTCGGTGGCGTTCGACAATCTCCGTGAGATCGGACAAGTATGTGAGAAGCATGGCGCATGGCTCCACGTGGATGCGGCATACGCAGGCAGTGCCTTCACATGCCCGGAGTATAGGTGGGTATTTGTTTCCAGAATCCTTAGTACGACTTTGATTTACGTTTAAAGTATTCGAAACGAGTACGCGTTCGGCGCTGTGATTTGTTGTTGTGATTGGCTGGTGTCAATGAATGAATGTTCTAAACTACTGGTCCGATTTGAAAAATTCTTTCTGTGTTGGATAGCGCATTTATCGAGAAAGGCTATAAGCTATAAAATATCACGCTACGATTAATAGGCCGCGAGCAGAGCGAGTGAAACCGCGCGGAAGTAGCTAGTATAATATAATTGTTTATTGCAGGCACTGGTTAGACGGCGTGGAGCTGGCGGATTCCTTCGCCTTTAACCCCTCAAAGTGGCTGATGGTCAACTTCGATTGCACTGCCATGTGGTAAGGATCGCTGGAGATCTGATCTCTTTAGAGATTTGCTCCTAATTTTATTTATATTGATACTAGCGACCCGCCACTGCTTCGCACGGGCGCAATATGTATTTATTATACATATGAACCTTCCTTAAGAAACACCCTATCCATTATAAAAAACTGCATCAAAATTCGTTGCGTAGTTTTGAAGATCTAAGCATACATATGGACAGACTTTGTTTTATACTATGCAGTGATAATTTAGTAGCAATTTAACAGTAGTCAGTATTCTATTGATCAAAAAGACTTCATACTACTATGTATATGTGTGTTAAGATCTGACCTAACTGGTTGACTGCATGGTGGACGAACGCGCTGGCTGGGCAACTAGCTACCGCGCAAAGTATTGCGTGTTTGATTTCCGCACGGAACAACGCTTCGTGTGATCCACAGATTGTTGTTCCGGGTCTGGGTGTCATATTTATGTGCCATATGTTTGTAAACGCACCCACGACATAGGAAAAAATCCTAGTTTGGAGGCAAATTAAAAAAAGGAACATAAAGATACTTCGTCGATTGAGTTCAAACTCAACTTCTTAATTTATAGAAAATGGATGTTAGATATATATTTTTTTGGACTCAAACTCAAACTCAAAAGCATTTATTTCAATTAAACCATAATTTGGTACTTTTGAAACGTCAACAAATATGAAATAAATAATAGTCTGTCAGTCTGTCTGTCAGTGAAGCTAGGCGGTCATTCTAAAATGTCGATTCGAGTGGAGAAGAACGAACAAGAAACTCCGTTCCTACAAACATCCCTATCTGTAAACAATTCATCAAATTTACATATATATGTTTTAGGGTGAAAGACAGTACTGCACTTCACAGGACCTTCAACGTGAATCCGATTTATTTGAGGCACGAGAATTCAGGTAAATTTTTTGGCGAACATTTTTATTTATTCATGTACCACAATACAGACAATACACAGAAAAAATATATATATAGGCATTTCCCCGCCTGCATCAGGATCGGCCATTGCGTGGGTATTTGGGCATATTATAAGATAAAACACCGAGTCATAACCATCACTAATCTAACTATAACTTTATGAAAAATTATAAGATTGTGCGGAACTTTGACGGTTCGTCGGAGATGTCTCGTTCTCGACATGGCGCTCCGTCAGAATGACTTTATTTTTATCAACCGACTTCAATAAAAGGAGGAGGTTCTCAATTCGACCCGTATGTTTTTTTTATTTTTATTTATTTGGGAAAACAAACAGTGACATTACATGATACATGATGACACAATACATAGGTAGTTCGAACAAATGTGTAACCAACGGCGTTTTCCACAGAATATAAATTAAATCATAAACACCATCACACAAACTTATATAACTAATAAAATATACTAAGAAAACATAAATAACATTACGCCTTTTGATCCCTGAGGGGAAAGGCAAAAGTATGATAATTATATATATTTTTTTGTGGTTATACATATTATCTTTTCTGAACCATAGTTCAGAAAGGAGAGAAAAAAAAACATGTTGAGACTTTTACAAATTAAATGAAAATAAAATGAAATCACTATAAGACCGGCCAGCATAATCAAATTAAATTAAATTTAGCTTTATACAAACAAATGAAAAACGAAAAAACGAAAAAAAATCAATTTTAATAATCAGTAAGTGATTCTGTGGCTAGATGTCATCCTAGTTCCAAAACAAATAATAGACGGCGCTGTGGCTACGCCGTCATATATATTATAACAAAACAGAGGTACATAGGTACTGCACATCTCTTATGGGATTTCTTCCTGCAGCCCTGCGAGAGGAAGAATATATACATCATATGACACAGTGTGTAACAACAAAAAAAACAAACAAACAAGAAGAAGACAATGAAAACTTGAACTAATAATTAAAACTACTTACAGACTAACCAAAATAAGAAAAAAACATACTTATCCTTACTAATATTATAAATCGGAAAGTGAGTTTGTTTGTTCCGCTTTCACGCCGTAACTACTAAACCGATTGCTTTGAATTTTTGCAGACGTAAAGTTAGAAGTCTGGATTAAATAATAGGGTACTTTTTATCCCGGAAAAAATGCTATTCTCGAGGGGAAAACGAAATTATTGGTATAGATGGCGCTGTGTGTATTGGTATATGTCACATAGGATACTTTTTATCCTTTTGTGACGCGAGTGAAGCCGCGGGTAAAAGCTAGTACAAAATAAATATAAATAAGTACATTTTTTATTGGTATCTAAAGGAAGAAAGAAAAATAATTTATTAAGTACAACAACAGGCACAAACAATACAAAATACAATGCAAACAAAAATAGGAGTGAAATAAAAAAAACACAAAATAGATGTAGGTATATACAAAAATTTAAAAGTTAAAATATACCAATAATAATAGTTATGTGCCCGACATTTGCTCCAAAAAAGGTCCAGTTCAGCATAAATGCCAGACATCTAGTGCTTGACGCACTGAACCTGTGGCAGACGCAACAGACGTACGTCTGACGACGACGTAAATGTGGAATGTGTGAAATATAATGTAAAATTATTAAGTAATATAATATAACATAACATAATATCACGCCTTTTATCCTCGAAGGGGTAGGCAGAGGTGCACATTATACGACTGTACAATGTGACACCCAATTTTCACTATTTGTGTTATGAGTCCCATGTAATAGGGGGTGAGCCTATTGCCATATAGCGGGCACAGTTCCAGACTCCGTGCTACTACAGAGATTTTTTTTTAAAAACCCAGTAATACTTTGCTCGACCCGGGAATCGAACCCGAGACCCCTTGCTCGGCAATCGCAATTGCGACCACTCGACCAATGAGGCAGTCAGTAATATAATATAGTTATACCATAATACATACATACATATAATAATAACTATTACATAAATAAAATTAAAACTAAATATTACTAAATTAAATATATACAACTTATGATTACATTAATTTTAATCATAAGTTGTATATATTTAATTTAGTAATATTTAGTTTTATAATAATTAGGCGAAATATATTAAATATGATAAAATTATATTGCGTGTGTATGAACAGAATGCACGAGTACAATATATAATTGAGGTACCTATTTAGTACCACCATATCAAGCTTTCGCTGTGTATTGATCTGGTATTGTTGCAAGCGTCTTTTAAACGTACCCGTTGTAGTAATCCACCCAAATTATTCACCTTCGAAGAAATACTGAAACAGTTATAGCGTCAGGAAGGAGAACCCAACTTATTTTTATATAGTAGATAATTGATTTGATTTAATTTGACATAATGTGATGATTTAATGCAAATCTAATTGTTTTTAATTACCTATTTGTTTTTGTTTCAGGAAAAGCGATTGACTACATGGTATGTAGTATGTTTTTTATATATTATTTTTGAGCAAAAGTGTTAGTTAAATTATTATACTAAAACAACAAGAGATATTATTATTGTTATCCTTAAAAAAGAGATCATTAGATAAACGATTTTATACATTTTTATTCAAGTTTTATTGTAAAATACAATATTTTAATTAACTATAATTCGTTGAACTTGTTCGAAAATCCAGATGAGTATACGTAACCTCTCGACTGAATTAATAATTTGGTTGTAAATTGAAAACAAAAACTATACCTTGATTTTAACCAAAAATTCAAAACTAGGTCGGGGACAAACAAACATACATCAAGAAGAAACCGCTAAGAAAAATAAACAACAATATCAAAGGTATTGAAAACCCCACTATCACCATCAATGGACACAAAAACCATACAGTTATAGAACTAGAAACACCAAATCCCCAAAATGGCATAATCGATGATTATCAAAACGGTGATTACCATAATGGTGATAACGAAAATGGAGATTATGAAAATGGTGATTACAACGGTGATGATGACGATGGAACTCTTCATGGTTATAATAAAATATCCCAAGGTTGTGGCGATCAGATCCAACTGGAAGATCCTAACAAAAAGGAGATGCTAGTAAGAGATTTATTGGTCATTTAGACCGGTGATGGTGATTTTGGTGGTGGGTTCTTATGGTGATGGGAATTTATTAGGGATATATGCGATTATTTTCGACTATTTCATCTTTAGTCTTGATTTGCCTAATATGGAGGGAGGGAAAATTATTATTTTCCTCTTCTCACATCTTAGGATTCTCTGCATTAGTTTCTGATCAATTTTTTATGGTATAGTTGGTAAAAACAGGATGTTATATTTAATATGTGCAATTTTACGAAACATTTTAAGAGATAAAAGATAAGAGATGGTGCTATAGTTGAGCTTATTTATATTGATACACATTAAATGAATTTGTACATTAATTCGGCTTACTCAATACTCACGTTGTTATTTGACGAATAACTCGACTAGCATACTAGATACTATTTACGACTTTGAAGTCATACTAGGCCTATGTTCATTCGGAGCCACGGAAGGCCTAACATTACCGGAGCTCCGGCTCAACGTGCAGGAGTAGGAACGGGGTGGTTAGTCAGTAAGAGTCTGACACTCCCTCTCGCGAACCCAAGGCGGGAGAAGTCATTGGATGAGTTTCCCCTATAAAAAAGGCCTATGTTCATGAGCAGCATCCCGCTATATGACGTGGCGATTGTCACGCTGCTTATGAAAGTCGAGTACCTCGTCAAATAATTACGTGAGTAAGCTGAACAACACAATAATTTAAATTAATGGCATGGCTTTTTTTATATGGCATAAGCCGGTAAACGAGCAGACGGATCACCTGATGGTAAGCAATCGGCGTCGCCCATGGACACCTGGAACACCAGAGGCGTTACAAGTGCATTATCGGGTTTTTGGGGATTAAGAGTTTGAGGATCGTCGGGGATTCAGGGATTGGGGAGATTAAGGGGTAGGGGAGGGTAATTGGGCCTCCGGTAACCTCATTCACACGACGAAACACAACGCAAGCGTTGCTTCACGTCGGTTTTCTATAAGGCCGTGGTATCACTCCGGTCGAGCCGGTCCATTCGTGCCGAAGCATGGCTCTCCCACACTTATTTTTTTATTATTATCTTATTTCATTAAAATCTTTACGAAGAAAGTGATTTTAATATTTTACTTTTGTTTTATAGCATTGGCAAATACCTCTGAGTCGTCGTTTCCGCGCCTTGAAGTTATGGTTTGTTCTCCGTAACTATGGTGTTTCTGGCATACAGAAGCATATTCGTGAGGTAAGTTTTATAGGTAAAAAGAAAGAAAAATAAAAGAACACACAAAATAATAACAACAACATAATAACAAAATAATATTGAAAAACAAACAAAAATAAAAAAAAAACAATAAGAACAAAAAATAACATTTAAAAAAAACAGCATTAAAAAAACAATGAAGCCAAAAAAAAACATTATAAAAAAGCAAAATTAAAGAACAGGGTGGCAACATGTCCACGACGAAAGGGCTCGCCAACTCAGTGTAAGCTGGGCACAGTAAGTACCCAACACTGGTTTTCAGTTGGCACCCCTGATTTCATCTTAAAACGGTACTTTTAAAATAATAAAGTCTACACTATCTTCGAATGGTCACAAGTGGAAAATGAGAAGTAAAAGCAGCGATTGGAATACTCGACCGACGAAGCGGGATAGTTCGTCTACTGAGCAAGGACCCGTGGATTTTACTTCTGGGTCGGATTTCATTATTGGGGAATAACAATTTTCTTTCCATAAGAGGTCTGTAAACAAACTGTGTCTGTTTAAAAAACAAAATATGCTTCATCATTCTTTAGTAAAGGTACTATAGTTTATCGTGGTCAGACAAACATATTTGCATATTTAAATTGGTTTACTTTTCGTTACCTTTTCTGTATGCCGAGCCATACACTCCTTCACTCATTTTTAATATTAATTTAGTACTATATCTGCATTCTCGTCTAATAATAAAGAAATTAAAGGATAAAATTAATTAATTTTGACTTCATTTCTCCAGGGAGTCCGATTGGCGCAGAAATTTGAGGCTCTGGTGCTAGCTGATCAACGCTTCGAAATACCTCAACCAAGGAACCTAGGTTTGTAATTTTCTAAAAATAAATACGTACGCCTGAACATCAACGCTAGCTGGTAAATCTGTAGTGCGATTTCCGACCCACAAGCGAAGCGAAGAGATTTTGGCAAACCCTCTGCCCAGAAGATGACGAGGTGGCTTATACTATACCTAACTGTAAATTTTACTTGAATAACATAACATATCATCACGCCTTTTATCTCCGAAGCGGTAGGCAGAGGTGCACACAGAAGTAACACCCACTTTTCACTATTTATGTTATGAGTATACCGGGCACAATTCCAGACTCCGTGCTACTACTGAGATTTTTTTACACCCAGTTATACTTTGCCTGACCCGGGAATTGAACCGCAGTTGCAGTTGCGACCACTCGGCCAACGAGGCAGTCTTACCTGAATCTGATTAACAGAGTCTTGCAGAGTTTACACAACCATTATATTTTACAGGAATGGTAGCCTTCCGCCTGAAGGGCGACAACGCCCTAACTGAGAGGCTGCTGAAACGCCTGAACGCTCGCGGCTACATGCACGCTGTTCCTGCATGCTTCAAAGGCATCTACGTCATCCGGTTCACCGTCACCTCTTCCAGGACTACCAACCAGGATATCTTGGGTAAGAGCTAAAATAATTTTCATGGGAGGGGATTTAAGAAACAGGGGATTTAAGAAATTCCTAATTTGCCTTTTCTATTAAGCTAATTGTAATATGATAATATTTTTACTTAAAAAGAAAGGGATTGATTTTTGGAAATTGTTTTACTTATCCCTACAAAGGCTTTGAAGATAATAATGCAGTATAACTTCTGTATTATGAGGGTTGCAAATAATTGTATTTTTACTTATTCAATCCAATAAACGAATCCGATTTTGAAAAAATCTATTTAGAAAAGTTCCAATTATAATTCTTGAATACAATTGTGTCTTACGTAATTAGTGATTGGAACAGGGTCAGGGTCAGGATATTAATAAGACGTCAAAATTCACGTAATGAATGTTCCAGTAAATTTACAGGTATAAAATTTTTAGTTGTAAGGAAGTCTCTGATTTTTGACTCTGTTCTATAAACTGTAGGCAAATATACTCACCCTATTCCGATCACTGGTCATAATCTATCGAAGGCTTCACCCAAATCTGCGCAAATACAACAATATACTAATCACGTATTTTTTTTTTTGTAATTTCAGATGACTGGAACGAGATTAAGACTGTGGCTAAGGAGATCTTAATGGATGTGTTTGGCTCCGAGAACGGTAACATAGTGGTGCCTAAGAAACCTAGGATCTCGTTGAAGGGTCAGTAACCTTAACTTTATATGTATGGTAATAAGGACTTTTGTTAACAGTGTCTGATCTGGTGAGGATATTTTTGATTCGTCTCTAAAAACTTTTTGATTGTGGGATTGATTTTGTTTTACATGGGTTTATCTAGTGTGTGAGAATTATATGTTGGGCTTTTGAAATGACGCTTTGTGTTTTATTTGTTTTGTTTTGGCTTCTGAAATCATAATGGTTTAGTTTCTACGTTCGTTGGCTGTGGTTCGTTCCGATTTCCATTTTAATACTCTCATTTGGGCGAGAAGGAATGACCGACGGTTTTCTATTGACAAAACATCATAAATTACAGAAAACTAAAAATAAGCCTAGTGTATTTTTTACAGAGACTCGTGAGCTGAACGCCACATTCGGTACCAGTCTTCTCTTGGCCAACAGCCCTATGAGCCCTAAGATTGTTAATGGCACTCACGCTGCTATCTGTGACTATGAACAGGTCCTGACCTCCTGTGCTCAGACTTTCGCTCAACTAAAAATGGAACCTAAGGATAGTCCTGGTAAGTTCGTATTACTTTGCTTCTGTTATGGGAGTCTAGCTATCTCTTGGTTGGGAATGGGACATTCATTGTTTGATGCTTTTTGTTTGCTTACTATGGGTTAAATGGAGTGGCAATGGTTGGGTGTGTGATGGATTTTAACTAACTTTGGTGGGGTTAGTTTAACTTTTACGAACAAAATAGTACCTACTCTAAACTATGCTAAAGTAACTATGTGGTATAACAGGTCTTTATTTTCTACAAAATATAAAGAATTTTCATGTTGCTCTGGTGAAGGATCTCTCTAAATACATGTGGAGTCAAAAAAACTCATGATTAATTTTCATCAGACATTAAAAGTGTACTAAAATCCACCAGCATTCCTCCATCCAGATAGACTTTACAATTACTGACACTTTCATGTTCACCACTCACTAACACACTAACAGAAATGCGTCGCCGTATCCGAGGGATCAAGATGTGTGGGAAGAAGTTCTCTCTGGACTCCTGCATGGACATGGTGCAGGGTATGATGGTGGAACAGTCTCTGCCACAGTGTTGTGAAGATGAGAGAGAGGATACTTCTAACGGTGGGTAGATTACAATGAGATTTAAAAACATCGTTTGACTGTACTATTGAATGCGGTGCAATAAGACTACTGGTGTTACAAAACACGTGTTGTACCTAACATGCGTGACTCAGGTTTGACTCCTACGGTTAATACCATTTTTTTCTGGTGGTCGGAGACCGTCACGCCATCTCCGGCACTCGGAGTGTCTCCCGTTACACGGTTCCCTAGAGATGTGCCGCCACAGACATTGTATAGTGGGAGTTCTGGCACTGGCTGAAACACTACCATCAATAGAGACTACTGCCATAAATATCCAGCTTATACTAAATATTAAGTACACAAAGTAATGACAAATGAATTTGTTTTAGGGGCAATGACAGACATAAAATCAGCAATGCTATAAAGAGGTAATTTTTGAAAACTATTGAGGTGGTGGGTCCCTAACTTAGAATAGGTTTAGACTAAAAATTTCCCTTTTATACAAATTTCTATCTAATTACTATAAAATAATTAAAATTAAAATTCTCTTTCTTTTAAAAGTCAATTAAAATCCAGGATCCAGTCCCGGTGACAAGTCTTCAATCACATCATCACCACTGACATCTATCGGCACACTCAAGCAAGAACACTCCGAGACAAACCAACTCCAAGTACCACTAGCGCCATCTAGGCAATACAGGTCAAAATCCGTGGACGTCTCACTCGCTGGCTTGTCGCTAGATGACGCTAAAATCACAATTGACGTTAAAAATAATGAAATAATTATCACTCCAACTGGTTCTAAGGATGTAGCTGAAGAATTGTCGGCTGCCAAATCGAACTACAGCGAAATTGAAGAGAAATTGAATATTGGCGATAAAATAACGCAAGCGTTTGAAAATTTTCAAGATGGCCTCCAAATGTTGAGTGAGTATAAGAATACTGTTGAGAAAGCTGATGATTGTAACACAAAGTTGACTATTAGAGGTCCCGGGAGTTACATTAAGAGGTTGATCCAACAGTTTAGTGAGGGTCCCTTCGAGGGAGAGGATCCTAAGCCTGAATCTGAGAGGGCCATGTCTACTCAAACGATTAAAGACAAAGCTGACGCGATTTGCAAAAAGTGTTTGCATTACAAAGGAAAAATTTCGAAGTAATTTCGCTGTGGTTCGATCGTTACTACGCCAAAATTTTTGTGGCATTATTACAAAAAAAAATGTTACAATGAACAAATTATTTCATAAAATATCTTATAAAATTGACGTATTTGTGGGTTTCTCGTCGTAACTATTCGACAAGGCTACTTGATTAGTTTCAAACCACGTTATGAGCCGATAACAGAGGCCTTAGTACGAGTTTGCTCTACGTTTAAATAGTACGGGAGCTAGCAACGTTTGGAAAGTAAGAATTTTAGGTCAGCTGATTTTGTGATATGTCGTCCTTCATGCAGGTTTTAGTTTTTTTTTGTTTTTAAAATCCAGGATTATTACCTGGACCGGTAGGATGCGCACTAAAGAACGCAACCGCTACCGCCAGCCAGATAGCCCAGACTCTAACCGAAAGTGCAAGAAGGACGACATATCACAAAATCAGCTGACCTAAAATTCTTTCTCGAAAACGTTGCTAGCTCCTATACCAAACGCGTACTCGTTACGAATACTTTAAGCGTAAAACAAAGTCGTACTAAGGCCTCTGATGCACCGTCCAGCTTAGCCTCATCGAACAGTTACGTTAGAAAATTCTGTACGTACCTATATAAATTAATATTACAAGACATTAATAATCTGTAAAATTTACTTACTATATAATTACTTCAATACTATAATAATCAAACTGTCGACCTATGTATTGTTGTCTACTTAATGATTAACTTTTGGCCATAACAGATGAACTATTATAAAGATACTAGCTTGCATACAGTAATTAAAAATCATGAAATTATACATTCATAATATAAATCAACGGTGTGGGATAAATGTATTATAATTTTAAGTTACTGCACAATTATTTGCTTATAACTAGGTGATCATTATTGTTCTGTATAGATATAATTACCATACTATTCAATATGTTAATTTTATGTTATAAAAAAAATGTTTAATATTGTACGCTTATGTATAAAATGTTGAGCGTAATTATAAAAAATAATCCTAAAAATGTAGTGGTTGTAATCAAATATGAGTAGTGCAATATTAACGCTTATATATTTGAATTATCGTGATATATCTTACTTATAATAAGTATAAAAATTATACCTTCACGTTTAATTAAAGTAGAATATAATAATAAAAAAAATATCATTGTTATATTCATGTTATAAGACTTATGCATAAATAATTATTAGTATTAATGTGTTTATTCAAAATTATTATTGGAATTATAAAAATATCTATTTAAAGTAGAATTAAGTAATTGTATCGACTTTCACATTTGTCAAAATATTATTTAGAAATAGTTCAAAATAAACTGCTGTGCACTATCAATAAAAAATATTAACAAGTTTGAAATGCAGTAGCAAATATATATTATAATGGAGGCTTATAACAAAAGAAAAAATCTTATATTATAAATTATAATTTAGATAATAATTCTAAAAAATGTAATCTCTTCGTAATTTCATTGGGTATATATGTGTACCTAATAATAGATATGTATAACACACGAGATCTCTGATTTTATATTCATTTTTTGGTTTTAATTTAGTCGAAACTGACCATTTAAGAAATGTTTAAATAGGTTAAAATTACGTTTCTTGGATTTTATAATACTTAATGTTTGTTTTGTATGAGATTTAAAAATAAAAAGAAATGCTGATACTTCTTCTGATATTATATTATTCAATCAGCTTATAATAAAATTATATTACATTATAAGTATAAGAAATATAATTAAATACGTATACTTAGGCTTTAGGCAATTAGAAACAAAATGTATGAATATATAATATATTTTTAGCTTTAATGCTTATGTTCAATAAACATGTTATGAGGCATTGACTCCATTTTTTATTTAATATAAATATTATGTTAAAAGATTTACATAACATAACATCACGCCTTTTTATCCCCGAAGGGGTAGGCAGAGGTGCACATTACGGCACTTAATGCAACTGAACAATGTAACACCCACTTTTTACTATTTATGCTATGAGTCTCATGTAATGGGGGTGAGCCTATTGCCATACCGGGCACATTTCCAGACTCCGTGCTACTACTGAGATTTTTTAAAACCCAGTAATACTTTGCCTAACCCGGAAATCGAACCCGACACCAGTTGCCCGGCAGTCGCACTCGCGACCACTCGGCCAACGAGGCAGTTAAAAAATTTATGACAATAATTTCCTTGTATTACTATTAATAATAAACTTAATATTACAGTCAGTTTTAGGACCTTGAATCTGCGTTTCATTAGTGATCCTATAAAAAACAGAGCTCTTGAAATATTTTTTACTAGCTTTTACCCGCGGCTTCGCTCGCGCCACAAAAGGATAAAAAGTAGCCTATGTGACATATACCAATACACACATTGCCATCTATACCAATACTTTCGTTTTCCCTCGGGAATACCAAATGTTTCCAGGGATAAAAAGTATCCTATTATTTAATCTGGACTTCTAGCTTTACGTCTGCAAAAATTCAAAGCAATCGGTTTAGTAGTTACAGCGTGAAAGCGGAACAAACAAACAAACAAACAAACTCACTTTATAATATTAGTAAGGAAGGATAATTCTATGGTAGTAAAAAAAACTGATAAATTTAGTGGTAACTCAGAGGATTATGACGCCCTCTTCATATGCATGAGAGCTCAAAACCTACAAACGACAAGTACCATGTGACTTTTTCCGAGTTATATGTACTTTCCAAGATTATCTAGACACCACTGACAAACGGTGAAGGAAAACATCGTGAGGAAACCTGGACTTATAATTTCTAATTATAAGTTTGAAATCGCCAACCCGCATTGAGCAAGCGTGGTGATTAATGCTCAAACCTTCCCTGTGTGAGTAGAGACCTTTGGTCAGTAGTCGGCATTTATGTATAGGCTGTTAAAATGATGTGAGAGAATACTGATAGGCTGGTGATGATGCTGAGAAAACGACATAAAAATCTATCTTTGCATACAAAGTTGCAATTATAAACCAGTACAAAATAAAACTTCAACATAAAATAGTACTTAAAATGTTTAATAAATGCAATAACTGTCAATATTAACATTTCACCTAAATTTATTTGAGCATTTCATTTAATATTTTTACTCTATCTCATGGTTATAACGGGCAGAGTTCGCAGAAAGTATAACAATAATAAAATAATAGTTTAATACTTCGTTTCTAATAGTAGGTATTATAGAATAATACAATATAATAGTACAATTATATAAATATATAAAAATAAATATTTAGGTGCATACATTAATAATAATAATAGTATTGCAAAATGTTAACTATATAATTATCAAAACATAGGTAACTCTTATACCACAGTAGGTTAATTATAAAATAAATAAATTGCTGCTGATTTAATTCCCGATAATAAAATAATAATCAATAATTCATAGTTTGATACTATGGTTTATAAACCAATACTTATATAAACCTGATAACCAATTTATAATGAGATTTAAATTGTATTATACATTTTATAACTATACATATTTTTTAAGCTTAATAAATAAATAATACTTGATTTAAAAATATAATTTACAAGCGCACTTTGCCCGTATCATGGTAATCAATAAAAATACTGCACTACTTGAGCAAAATACAAGAAAAAGCTCATAAATTATTAATTATATAATTATTCAAAAATATAAATTATAACAAATAATTTATAATTTCTACAATTCAGTCTTAAATACTAAAATTTAAATCTATTAATAACGATAAATAAATGCATTTTTTAATAATTTACAATAGGAGCTAATTATTTATTATTTTGCTACGACAATATACAATAATTTTATTTAAAATTCTATTTAGAAAATTATGAAAATAACGTTTTTCTCAATTTTGTTTGTATTACATTTTTATAATATATTTTTTTCTTTATTGTTTATATTAATTATAAAATTGAACAATGTATTTTAAGTGACTATAAATTGAAGCTCAATTTATTACATTTAAACAAAATTTAAATTATTTAACATTAATACAGAATTTCAATTATTATACAATTTTATTTAGAGAGCTGTAACATTTTATACAAATTCTAAATTATAATTAAAAATTCACTTAAAATTTTAGTAAAAAGAAATACTGTTTTTTAATAGAAATTTTCTAATTCATTTTTAGCCCCAAAAATTAAGAAGGCGTGAATTAATTCATAAATTTCTTTTCATGAATAAAACAAAAAGAAAATGAAAAGTAAACACACTTTCAAGTACAATAAATAACAAAACATTCATTCACAAACACTCAAATTTATCTATTTAAAAATCATCCATTTCGTAAACCAATTCAACTAATAAATTCACTCGCATACACTCAAAACATTTATTCATCATCAAATAAATTATTCATTCTGAAAAATTCACCATTCATTATTCAATTCCGTTTATTCAAATTAATTTATTCAAACTAAGTTCGGTATTCAATGGACTCCTGTAATACTCTTTAACCATGGTTTATAGTATGTGGTCCTCATGTAAACACCGGGTAGGAATGGCGCTGCACATTTGATTCCATGGGAGACTGTTCCAACCAGTTGCCATTTTCCATCATCTCGCTGAAGAACTAAGGGACCACCGCTGTCACCCTGGAGATAGGAAATAGTCGTTATCATTACTAGTGTTTCACATCGCAATAGAACGATATCATGGTACTGTATTTTAGTCTGTAGACAAGGAGGAGACTGGATAGTGATGCCATTGACTGGTTTTTCTTTATGTGGTATACAATATCAGCCAATGTATTAAATGGCGACATATTAAATCGTCGAGTACCGTCATTATAGACACAATTATAGAACAATAGGTTGCGGTCACCGGTGGCCGGTGACCGCTTGGTGTTTGACAGTTTAAAGAAGGCTGACTGCTTCATTGGTCGCAAGTGCGACTGCCGGGCAAGAGGTCTCGGGTTCGATTCCCGGGTCGGGCGAGTATTACTGGGTTTGTAAAAACCTTAGTAGTAGCACCGAGTCTGGAAATGTGCCCGGTATATGGCAATAGGCTCACCCCCTATTACAAGGGACTCATAACATAAATAGTGAAAAGTGGGTGTTATATTGTACAGTGGCATTAAGTGCCGTAATGTACACCTCTGTCTACCCCTTCGGGGATAAAAGGCGTGTTATGTTATGTGTGTTTATGTATATTAAAGAAGGGCCAAATTAAAAGTTCCCTTAACCGACGAGCATGCATGAAAAGATTGATGAGTGTTGATGTAGTGAAAGAGGTATGTAGGAATAGGCGTAATTGGCGTTCCATACTCACTGCCTATCCCCATGGGAGACAGGCGTGAAGTTATGTATGTATGTGTATGTAACCAGCAGCTGTAGCCAAATGCCATTTAGCGCTTGTCTACATGTAGAATAGAAAACTAAATTATATGGAATTGACGTAAATTTTGACACTTGCCAGTGTCATCCCCATACATTTTGATTTCTACTCTCTCTGTAGACAAGCGCTAAAGTGGCGTTTGGTTATGGGCACAGAGAACCCAAATATCTATGTTGTGATTAGAGATACATACGTTCGGTACACACATATTTCATTAATTACAATTCTAGATTATTCTATTCTAGATAATTACGACTGCACGGTTGGTGCGGTAGCTGGGCAATCGGCTGCCGTGCAACGTGTCGCAGGTACGATTCCCGCACGGAACAACACTTTTGTGAGATCCACAAATTGTCATGTGTATGTAAACTTGTATGTTTGTAAACGCACCCACGACACAGGAGAAAATCGTAGTGTAGGGCAACGTTTTAAAAATAAAATAATATAAAAGTTTAAATATAGGATCAACTGAGAATACACACTCGACATATGCGAATATTCTAGTAGTGTGTCATGTAGTGAAGTAGTAGAAGTTCCTATTCATTTTTAATGGTGAAATCATACAACCAACTTACTTCACATGAGTCCTTCTGTCCGTTAGCGTATCCTGCGCAGATAAAGGAGTTCAATATCTTCTTTGAGTGACCAGCTGTCTGGAACATGTCCTGGCATGCACTGTTCTCTATTACTGGTACCTGGAAATTATTAGAAGGATGATAATAAATGTAAGACGATGATGACGAACGGCGGGACGCCACCCTTATATGGTGGACATTCCACCCATTCGCACGAAGCGTTTCACGTCAAGCTTCCTTGTGCGAACCGCTAAGGAATGGAATTCTAAGGCCCAATAGGGCCGATGCCGATTCGGAGTCGCGGAGAACCTAACGGGTACGACCGGCTCGACGTGCAGGAGAAGGAACGGGGTGGTTTTTAGTCAGTAAGAGTCTGACACTCCCTCCCGCCTCACCCAGGCGGGAGCAGTCATTCGATGATTCCCCCCCCCCCCTTAAAAAAAAAGGAATGGAATTCTTTGTCGGAATCTGTGTTTAGCGACAAATATGATTTGGGTGTCTTCAAGTCCCGAGTGAACAGGTTGATCATAGGTAGGCGTGCTCCATCGCCGGCCACATCATCGCTTACCGCCAGGCGAGATGGAGGCAAAACGTCGACCTATCAATTGTAAAAAAACAACAAGAGGACTATGTAATGTGTAGTTATGAGGGACCAGCCTTAAGCCTAAAGTCCCAAAAGTACGACCAAAATTATATATGAGGCAACTCAAATACGAGGCGTGTCGAAGCCAAAATGGAATCATTCATCCCCGTTGACTGAGTGGTCACAAGGGATTTTTGGATTCTCAAAAATGTCTGTTATAGTCGTCATCATCATCATCATCATCATCAACAGCCTATAAATGCCCACTGATGAGCAAAGCCTCTTCTCACATGGAGAAGGTTTGAGCATTAATCACTACCTACGCTTGCTCAATGCGGGTTGGCGATTACAAACTTATAATTAGAAATTATAAGCCCAGGTTTCCTCACGGTATTTTCCTTCACCGTCTGTTAGTGGAGTCTAGATATTCTTAGAAAGCACATGTAACTCGGAAAGGTCACATTGGTACGTGCCGTTGGTAGGTTTCGAACCCGCACCCGCATGAGATGCAGGCGTCTTAAACCTCCGGGCCACCACGACAGGTCTGTAATAGTGCGGTCTCCGAATCATGCCCTATGTTTGTTTCCCTATTACATGAATCTCATAATGATATGAATACCGAAAATAAAATTAGTAATTAATCTGCGCCTATGCATATCCCTTGCTTGGGCGCTAGAACATATTTTTTTTATTTTTTTTTTTTTTTTGTTGGGACAAGCCCGCCACAACCTCCCAAAACCGCTGCAACTCCTGTAAGCCAAGATCTACAGTAGATACAACCATGAAAACACCAGAACACTGAAGTCCGGCGCGTCCCAGGGACATGAGTAACTGTCTTGGTTCCCGCAACGAAGTGAATCAGAAGATATTATAAGAGGAGAAGAAGAAAAAACTATGGTTTTCACTTCCCTCGGTGAATTACTGCAGGAGACAGAATGAATTAAGCCTAAAGGCACAAAGAAGAGACTGTACAACTGGGTGAAGCCCAGTCGCCAAGCACCACGGAAATTTGACTAAAAACTAAGTGGGTCCTATGTGTGAGCTGTTATACTTGCTTCCAATAATAGGTATGGCAAAAACGCCTAAACGCACGGAAATTCGTTCTAGATTCCACAAGGTCCGTATAATAAACTACACCTGACGAAACAATTAAATTATTTAACATAGTGTTACGTTCATATTGCCAGAGATCACACTCCCAGAGTATGTGATGGGCCGACTGCTCGTATCGCAACTCCTCTGTCGAACATTGGCACCATGGTGAATCAATAAGTTTAAATGAGAACAATTTGCTTTTAAAGTTGCCGTGGCCAGTAAGAAATTGGGCAACACAGTGATCCACCTCCAACCATGTCCTCTCCAGCCGCTCATGCACGGATGGGAAGAACTGATACAGGTGGCGGCCCTTAATAGAAGATGCCCATCTACCCTGCCATTCAGTTATAAGCTCATCCCAAACGTCCGTTATTGGCTTAAACAATCTTGCAATTTTATTTCTATCACGTTCAGCCAGAAAACTTGCTGACAAATTAGGTCTCGCACTGTAGTACATAGCAGCACGTCGCTGCACCTCAAGATCTACCGGAAGTACGCCCGCGAGCACAGGTAGGGCTTCAGTGCTGAAAAAAACCTCACTGCACTAGTAGAATGCATTTATGTCAGCTTGGAGTTGTCATGCTCACTCAAAGATCTCATTGGCGGTGGCACGTGCATTGTATCGCTAGATTCCCTGCAATATGGTTGAGTTGGGCGGTGTTGGTGTACGTGTCATGTTCGTGAACGGGCGCCGTCAACTGGGACTGGTCAGCTCCAGACTGCATTATTTATTGTCTTTATGGTTATTTTCGATCTTTGACTAGATTTTGGTGATACATTGTTCTCGCACAATCGAACCAATAAAACTGTGTAACTGGAGAATTGTATTGTGAACCTGATTGGAAAAGAGTAATAATCTATGGAGTTTCTTGCTCGTTCTTCTCCACAGAAATCTACACATTGGAATGGGCAAATAACTTCACTTTTAAATTTATATTGCTGACGTTCAAAAGTGCCTTCCTGGTCTAATTAAAATAAATGATTTTAACTTTGACTTTGACTTTGATTCTTGGCTGACGAGTTGTTCAAAGGTTCCAGTGTGTCAGATGACGCTTCTACTGCGTGTCTGTTAAATGTGTAGTGCCCTATTCGACTTTTATGAGTAAGGGTGGTGACTAAACATTTTGCCTACTATACTGTCTAAAATATGCCTTCAGTTCAAGAAATAAGAACCATTCTTACTTACCGATATGAGCGTCAAACTTGATAGGCGACTCCAACTCCAATAAAGCAAGATCATTTTCGAAGGTAGCAGCATCATAAGATCGGTGGACGATGACTTTCCTCACGTTCCTTGATACTGGCTTCTTAGGCTCAAAATCTCCTGATATATCGTTCTCTCCAAATACCGCTACAAGGGAGGCTAGGAATCTAAAATTAAGAGAAATAATTAAATTAGTATCTATTAGACCGTCGTTGGCCGAGTGCGACTTCCGGAGAAGGGGTCTCGGGTTCGATTCGCGGGTCGGACAAAGCATTAATGGGTTTAAAAATAAATCTTAGTGATAGCATGGAGTTGAGCCGCGGAAGACTTAACGGGTTGCCGGAGCTCCGGCTCGAAGTGCAGGAGTAGGAACGGGGTGGTTTTTAGTCAGTAAGAGTCTGACACTCCCTCCCGCCTCACCAGGGCGGGAGAAGTCATTGGATGATTTTCCCCCCTAAAAAAAAATAAAAGTGCCCATATACCGGGCATAGGCTCACCCCCTATTACATGGAACTCATAACATAAATAGTGAAAAATGGGTGTTACATTGTACAGTGACATTAAGTGTCGTAATATGCATCTCTGCCTACCTCTTCGGGGATAAAAGGCGTGATGTTATGTATATTTTTCACGAAGTACAATTATGCTTTGGCATGAATGAGCTGCCTCGAACCTGATGAGGTTCGAGGCAGCTCAGTATCGCAGTATCGCAGGCAGGGGCCAACCCTCCCCAAATCCTCAATTCTCAAATCCATTGTCCCTAAACGGAAAACAACGCATTTATAACTCTTCTTATGTTACGATTCATAGGCGGCGCCGATTGCTTATGGCATGAAGTTTCCTTATGGCATCCAGCATTTCTTTCTTTATTGAAACAAAGAGTTTCTTTTTTCTTGTATAGAAGCACTATTTATATGGATTGTCAGTATGCATGTGAGCACCATGTTAGACTATGAGATTGTTTTATTTTAGTAAGGTTTGTAATTAGTACCTATAATGCGTCTAGCGTATCTTTGTATTGTTCTCATATATACGTACAATATTGGAATATGTATCAGAGACATTGTAGAACATACTTTTTTAAAAAGAGTAACGAATGGAGTTTCTTGCTCGTTCTTCTCCATTCGAATCTACATTTTGGAATGAGCACCTAGCTTCACAGACGGACTGACTGACAGACTGTTATTTATTTTATTTGTTGACGTTTCAAAAGTACGAAATTATGGTTTAATTGAAATAAATGCTTTGAATTTGACTTTGCTTACCATCAGGTGGTTAATCTGTTCTCTCTGTTTGCCGACACATCTCATAAAAAACTATACTTACCCAGGTTGACAATGGGCAGCGGTGGTGACGAATCTGTTGGTGATAAGGACTCCTCCACACTTGTTCTTGGTGAAGAGACCGAGCCACGTGGATTCCCTCACCAGCACCTGCCAGGGCCACTCACCGAAGTTGGCACTTTTGCCGCCAACTATACGGCCGGTTTTGGCCAGGGGACGTACGCCGCATACTGGAAGATTTGTAAAGAGATTATGAGTAACTAGCTTCTGCCCGCGACTCCGTACGCGCAATCCCATTTTGCCCCCTTTCCCGTTCGTGATTTTCGGTAAAAAGTAAAAAAAAGTATTCTATAAAAAGTATCCTATGTCTGTCTCCTGGTTCTAAGCTACCTCCCTGCCAATTTTCATCTAAATCGATTGAGGCGTTCTTGAGTTATAAATAGTGAAACTAACACGACTTTCTTTTATATATATAGACTATAGAATGAAATGATTTAGATTCTCTATTGAACAAGACTGCTATGGCAATTTTAGGAATAGTTTTTTTTTCATTAAGCCTAGCATTTAGTCGCAAGACTATAAGCAGATGAGTTGAGTAGAATCTTGAATGGAAGACGACGAGGCCATCGCCTCATCGGCCTGTTCAGAAGACATCATTCCTCTTTAGTCTTTTCACTATGGCTGAAGTAGAGTAAGAGTTGAGTGTTTCTAGTTTCTTTAATCAATTAATCGTTTTTTACTGTAATTTATAACAGACCTTTTGTCAATTCAAACTCCATAGTGACTGAAAATTCTAAAACTTGTCCAGAATTTTTACCAACAGTCTTATAAATTACGATACTTACAATTCTTGTCGTTGTAATCGATAGGTCGTTCGACATAATTCTCGGTCGTCACCTCGTCAGCCAGCTCGGTGGTGGTCGTGGCGGCTTGAGTGGTTGTCGTCACTTTCTTCGTTGGTTTCGGCTTTTTCGTGGTAGTTACCTGGAAAATGTGGTGGAATACAAAGACGGCATACCAGTTATTTTAGAATATTTCGTGATTAAAATAGAATATTGATATCATTTTGATAATATTTATTATCAAGACCATTTTCATACATATTTCTCATAAACCGATTAGATATGAAGCAATTTAGTAGAAGTATATAAGAAACGCTACTTATCTGAAAATTTATCAAATCAAACTTAAAGTCACCCTAGTGATTACTAACTAGCAAAGATATCAAGATCATTTCTATCTTACCGGTTTCTTCGTAGGCGGGGCGGTAGTGGTCGGCGGCTGCGTTGTGGTAGGCCGTCGATACTGCGTCGTCAGCCGTACCGGCTTCTTAGTCGTCTTCACCGTTGGCCGTCGTGTCGTCACCTTCGCTGTCGTCAACCTTACTGGCCTCTTTGTTGTCGTCAAAAATGGCCTCTTTGTCGTCGGTGGAGTCCGTTTAGGCTTCACCGTCGTCGTTTTTGTAGCCGTGTCGTTCGGTTTTCTTCCAAGAATTACTATATCATGCAATTCTTGGAATGTTCCTTGTAGATTACCAACGATTTTGTTGACGAAAACATTCATTTTCTCGTTCAGTTTATCGTCCATCTGCCACGTTGGTGTCGTGAATTCTACGTCGTGTAGAATGTCCAATTCATTGTCTGATAGCGAAATACTTGTGTTGTATAGTGCTGGGTTTGAGCCAGTAGCGTTCAGCATTGGATTTCTGACTGGTGGGAAGTTTATTAAATCATCTGGCGATGTTTGCATCTCTGGTTTGTTCGTCGTTGGTGCCTCAGTGAATTCCATGACTGGGCTGGTCAAAATTGGAAGTGGTCTAGTCCCTATTGATCCCTTTATTGGATAAGGAGTCGTTAAACCAGGTTTTGGAGTTATAACAACGGTAGGAGATGATGTAGTCGGTGGTTTACCCATATAAATATTGTTAGTAGCTGCGATATGATTGTTTACGGTGATATGGCTTACAGGCTTTTTGAATGGCTCCTGAGATATTTCAACGAATTGTGGTTCGTCTGCGTCTAATGGCGTTTTCGTGGTGTGTATGTCATTGAGGACTATGACAGTCGGTGTGACGCTTGAGAAGGTGTCTACTGCGTCATAAGTCACTACATTTGATGGTAACGCTGGTCTTCTGATGGGGCTGGCACCAGTGACATAGCTCGTTGATGGTGGCTTTTTGGTGGTTGTCGGTCTTTGGGTAGTGGTGGAACTGACATAGCTGAACGTAGACAGGTCTCCAAAATCAGTAGGATCCGTAGGATATCTGTTAAAAGCTTCAATAGCTTGACTAGTGGAATGACTAGGACTAGGCGAGGAATAGTAAGACGTCGGCTTATCATCCTGCGGCAAGCTATTAGGAGTCGTATGTACGTAGTCATACGATGGCTTCTTGCTTGGCGTTGTTGGTTTTTTAGTTATATACGTTGATAGAGAAGTTGGTTTGAGAGTGACGTAGTGTCCAGTGGATGAAAAGCTGGGGTAAGTGTAGGAATATGAAGGAGATGGAGATGATTTCGTCTCCATAATATCGATTGATGGCGTCACATCTTCCTTCATACTTGGAGTACTGTCATTAAGCATTTGAATTATGCTATTAATGGACGATAGCTCTGGAACTCTCTGTGTGTTTTTGGTGGTGATTGTTGATACTGGGACATATTTCTCCGTTGACGTCACAGGTTTCGGTCTAAAGATTGGTTTAACAGGTCTATGAGTAGACACAGTCCTTTGTGGCTCTGTTGTCGAAGTGCTAGGCGTGACAGTCGGTTTCGTCTGCATTGAAGACAGCTGTATATTGAAATCTGAAGGCCTAACAACGTTATCAACAACAGAACCGTTTGTATGAACCAGAATAGTATCAGGACCGCCATGGTCTATACTGCTGTGGGTATAATAATCTGGTTTAGGTTTCATATAGATAATTCCATTACTATCTTTAGGTGGAGAACTTAACAAAGTATTAGTAATTTGAGTAAGACCTTCGGAAATTAGCTCATGTTCGGCTTCTGTGCTCAAATCTTCTGGTTTAAGAGTAGTAGCTGCAGTTTTATCAGCTGGTCTATACCCTGGAGTGACTACAGGTTTGAAACTGTTATGAAGAGCACTTAGTTCTTCAGCGTCGTAATCATCGCCTTCCGTAGCGTCTGGGTAGTCTAAGTAACTGGTCATCACGATACCTGGACCTTTAGGTATGTGGGACTGGCTGTCTGATTTAAGTTGGCAGCAAGCTCCGAAGAGAAAACCGTCCATGCAGGCTCCGACCACTTCACCACCTCGTTGGTAGCATTCATGGTTGAACATGCATATGGTGTTGCCTCTATTGTATTTTGCTGCGCGCGATGCCTTGCAGTAGGTTGGGGTTATTCTGTACCCGCCGAAGAGTTTTCTTGATTCTGTAAAAGAAAAAGATTTCGTGGTTAGTTTAAAATAATATTAAGTTAGATTCAAAGTCAAAGTCATAGTCAAAATTAAAGTCAAAGTTATTTAGTTAGAGTGCAGCATTTGTTTTCTACATAAGGCACTGATTAATTAAGTAAGCTTATTTAGGAACAGGTATTATAAGTTTATTAAAAATCGCGGGTAACTCACGTGAAAGTACTGACAGAGGGGCTCTTCCTGATAAGCAGCGTGCGCGGTCGCGGCCTGAGCGTAGTCTTTTCTGTTTTTCCCAGTATATTCACGTGAGTAACCCACGATTTTTTAATAATTTAGTATGTCTCACGATAGTTATTATAAAAACAGGTATTGTAAGTTCTATTGTGATAACGATGTTTTAGCTTATAAACCTCCGGCATTTTGAGACACTGTAATTCCAGAGATAATTTCAAAATTGAATCATTAAACTATATCGACAGACGCAGCCTAAGCGTAGGCCCTAATTATTTTTTTTTATGGAATAATCCGGTTAACGAGCACACGGATCACCTAATAGTAAGCAATCGTCGTCGCCCATGGAACCTGGAACACCAGAGGCGTTACAAGTGCGTTACCGGTCTTTTGGGGATTAGGAATTTGAAGATTTTTGGGGATTCAGAGAGGGGGAGTTTAGTAATTAGGCCTCCGGTAACCTCAATCAAACGAAACACTACGCAAGCGTTGCTTCACGTCGGTTTTCTGCTCGGCCGTGGTATCACTCCGGTCGAGCCGGCCCATTCGTGTCGAAGCATGGCTCTCCCACACTTGATCTACTTAATCTACAAATTAAATGTTTCTTGTTTACTTTTTTAGGTCTAAGCCTCAAGAACAAGTATATTGATTGATATACCTATGTGTGTACGTATGTTCGTCTACTCGATTTCTCCTTTGTATGTACCCATACAAAACACATACACACATCTTTGTCCACACAAATGTTTGACCATACAATGTCCATACATTGTATGCATAAAAATGTCATTAATCTAGACTTTCTCGAGTCATGCAAGATACACGAACTGAATGGACTATGTATGTGTATGTATAGAAGAAGGGATTTCTTGAAAAAGATTTCTCAGAACTATCTCTTTGGACGTGTGATTTCAAATCAAAATTTCCAAGATTTAAAGTAAATATAATTAATTCTAAGTTCAGTTCAGGCACCTAATGGATTAATTCATCATACATCAACAGCCTATAAGTGCCCACTGCTGAGCGAAGCCTCTTCTCACACGGTTTGAGCATTAATCACCACACTTGTTCATTCCAGATTGGCGATTTCAAACTTATAATTAGAAATGTTTGTAAACGCACCCACGACACAGGAGAAAATCCTAGTGTGGGGCAACGTTTTAAAAAAAAAAAAAAAATTATAAGTTCAGGTTTCCTCACGATGTTTTCCTTTACCGTTTGTCAGTGGTGTCTAAGTAATTTTAGAAAGTATATATAACTCGGAAAAAGTCACATTGGTACTTGCCGTTGGTAGGTTTCGACCCGCACCCTCATGCATTTTGAGAAATTTTGGTCAAATACAATGAAACACGTCCAAAGGGGTAAAAACAAATTAACAACTGCACATAAAACAACGTAATACGAACAGTTCTGTGATAAGTCCTATGTTAGAAGATAAGACTCTATTGCCATTCGCTAGGCACAATACTAGATACAATAATTGAGTATATATCGAAAAGTAAAAAATACCACTAATCTAATAAGACATAATATGCCACGATATAAGACAAAATCCAAGTTCTTTTATTAAAATCGGTACGGTGGTACCCATAACACAAGTTTGATCTTACCTGGGGTACCATAGTTTCATCTTAAGTACTTACTTTTTTATATGATGTTGTAACGATTAATCAATACATAGTATAAAACAAAGTCGCTTTCGCTGTATGTCCGTATGTATGCTTAGATCTTTAAAACTACGCAACGGATTTTGATGCGGTTTTTTTTAATAGATAGAGTGATTCTTAGGGAAGGTTTGTATGTATAATACATGCATATTGCACCCGTGCGAAGCCGGGGCGGGTCGCTAGTTTTATATATAAGAGTTACTGTACAAATTATGGTTGATAAACATTTATTATTTATATTATTATAATCCTACGAAAAACGTGTTAATATTTTTGCTTCTACTCTCTAGAAACAACAACTATGATGATACGTTAACTAGGTTGCCCGTCAAAGCTAGTATTTAAGCCATAGTCGATAGCCACGACACGAGAGAGCCAGGGTTTCACTGTCATAGTAAATTGTAGCCACTATGTGACACTTTCTAACTAAATAATTTCTCCCGTACAACATATCGATTACGAAGATGACATAGCCGTTTTTACAGGTTTTCTTATTACTTTGTACAGTGTGCCAAATTTGGTTAGAGGTGGAGATAAGTGTGATTTTTAACCGTTATCTCATCGCATAGTTTTCTCTTATCTTTTACGTGGGTTTAGTAAAATACAGGTCCTACAGGTTTACCCTTTTCCTCATCTTGTGCAAATTAGTGTCATATATATATATGTATACTATGTTTATTTGTAATATACTCTAATATGTGTATTATTTGATGTGTATCTATCATATGTATGTATAGGTTTATGTATTTTATTGTGATCTATTTATTTAATACATTATTTACCGGTTTCATTTTGTGTATGTAGTTTTAAGTTTGTATTGGCTTAAATTTTGGTAAATTTTGTTCTTTTTCTTTGTTCATGTCATGTTACGCACAGTGTCTCTGTTTTTACCGTTTTTCCTGTCGAAGGACTGCAGGAAGAGATTCCTACGGAAATATGTAGTACCTATGTACCTCCAATTTATTTATATATGTGTTCTCCTGTGTACTGTCTGTGTGTTGTGCATAAATAGATAAATAAATAAATAAAATACAGGTCGAGGTACATCAATATGTTTTACACAGTGAAGGTTTCGCAGACTATTAGTATCCGATAAATCTTTATAAACCTTTTTTTTGAGGGTGGAAAATCATCCAATGACTGCTCCCACCTGGGTGAGGCGAGAGGGAGTGTCAGACTCTTACTGATTAAAAACCACCCCGTTTCTATTCCTACACTTCAAGTTGGAGCCCCGGCAACCCGTAAAATTCTTCGCGGCCCCGTATCGGTATCAGCCCTATTGGGCTCCATCTGTGGAAGTCTTTATAGACCTAGATGCTAGTAGTAGCCAGCGCGTACCAGGGTGGTTTTCTCTTCTATTCGATCGCTTGCTTCATTTCTGAAGTTCGTGCCCCTGAAAGGCTTTCATCGCTCTTTGTGTTATTTCCCTCCATCTTGTCCTGTTTTCGGCTTCTCTTAGGGCTTTCGTAACAAAGAGTCAAGTGTAATTGGTAACTTGGTCACACCATCGGCTAGGTGATCGGCCGCGTGGTCTTTTTCCTTCCACCTTACCAACAACAACCAATTTGTCGAGGTTATCTGACTGGCGGCGGGCAATGTGACCGATATACCCAAGAACTCGCTGGTAACATACGGTCGACAGTCTAGTCTTTATGTCAAGCTGTTCCAGCATTGACTTATTTGTTCGTCGGGCAGTCCATGGGATCTGGAGCATTCTTTGGAGGGATGGATTTAGTCAGATACAAATCGTACATACCCTATTTTTTCTTTCATCAATAACTCATGACAGTCCAGTATTGAACTGGCGTCGTCTACTCAATAGGAGTTCAGTATGCAAGCTTTTCAGATTCAAGACCTCAGTTTGAAAGGTTCAGGTTTATGAGAGATCGCTTCTACCCAGTATACGATAAATGTGAAGTCTTTAAGTCGGCTTTTCGGATACCTACATTAACTCGTCGAGTACCGGTTTTGTAGACACAATTATAGAACAATAGGTTGCGGTCATCGGTGACCGTTTGGTGTTTGACAGTTTAAGATTTTTAGGGAACAGAGAGGTTAGTTCCAGAAGATCGGAAAAGGAGGATCCTCCAACCAGACGAGGTGATCGTGCCTGGCGGGCTTTCTGCCCAACAGTTATTCGTTGGGATTTTCTATCCGTGTTAATTTGCATGTAAACTTTGCATGTGCGATGTAGGATTTTTGTGACGTCATCTGTTGACATGTACCATGTGTCGCCACAGATTAAAGGAAGTTAAAAATGTATTCTACTAAGTGTGGGAGAGCCTCGCTTCAGCATGGGTCGGCTCGACCGAAGTGATACCACGGCCTCACAGAAAACCGACGTGAAGCAACACTTGCGTTGTGTTTCTTTATATGAGTGATGTTACCAGAGGCTCAATAACCCCCCTCTCCTCAATCTCTCCAATCCCCGAACAATCCTCAAATTCCTAATCCTGAACGTACTTGTAACACCTCTGGTGTTTTGGGTGTCTAACGGCGGTGACGATTGCTTACCATCAGGTGTTCAGTTCGCTCGTTTATCAGCTTATTTTAAAAAGCGGCATAACTACCTACTGAAGTAAAAAACTACAGTTCACAATATAAGAAGCGGTTTTGTGGTTAGCAACTGTTACTGCTAATGACTTGTGCATACAGTGTTATGTTCAACACGTCATACATTGGTCAAAGTGTGGTCACTCTAGTTTACTATGTTATATACTACTAGCTTTTACCCGCGGCTTCGGTCGCGTCACAAAAGGATAAAAGTAACCTATGTGACATATACCAATACACACAGCGCCATCTATACCAATACTTTTGTTTTTCCTCGGGAATATCAATTTTTCCGGGTTAAAAAGTACCCTATTATTTAATCCGGACTTCTAACTTTACGTCTGCAAAAATTCAAAGCAATCGGTTAAGTAGTTACGGCGTGAAGGTGGAACAAACAAACAAACAAACAAACAAACTCACTTTCAGATTTATAATATTAGTAAGGACTACTACTTGGGGACAAGTGTTCTGTCCTTTCAGCTACTAACTACTTAAAACTACCACAAAGTTAATTTTGACGGTTCACTAAACTGCCGTCACCACTGGACACTGGCAACCGCTGGGTT